TCCGTTATGGTTTGTTTCGTTGTGGATTCATTGTCATTATTCCCTATTAAGAACAATTCAATAAATTCGGATTTTTAGTAAATATATTCGTTCATTCGTTCGCGACGATCACAATATTACTAAATCATTTTGAATGTATTAACGTTTCGTTCACCAATTAAGAAAATTCTCACCTCTTGCCATTGCGATCGCAAGTAGGATCACGTATAAATATCGCAGCTTCATGTTTTTAATATTTTTGTATCGTCGAGTCACTAAATTTCCTTATATAAATATCTCCTTTTTCCTTTCGTTTAAATAAATCTCTACACAAATTGATATTCACTATATGTTTAATAATGTGTCTCAGACAAAAAATCGATAAAATGAAAAAGTAAAGAGTTGTTGTTCTTTTAGGTAGGAGCACGATGAAGCGATTAATTTTGTAAAGCCTTTCTCCGTGGTTAATATAAACGATGGTGAGCTAATAAATGTCTACTACTAACCCCCGCCAACCAACCGTGTTCTCGTACTTTATCATTATATTTTTATCCGTACAAAGAGATAGGATATCTCCGTTATACGTAGCCGTTTAATACTTACCTTTTCTTCGCGGACGAATCGAATGATTTTTAAAATTGTTCTACATTTATTATTATATATATATATATATTCTCGGAAACTACTTGTAATATTTTCAATTAATTTTACACCTATAACTTTTTTTATCCCCGCGTTATCGATTTATCGTTAGACGACGACGTATTTAAATAAGGATACAAACAAACAAAAAAAAACAAACTAAATATATAAATAATTATTCTTTTAATATCTGTGTGTTAAATTTATAATTTGACTGCAAGTACAATCGCGGACAATTTAAACGAAAGATAATTACTATTAAAAATATCCTTGAAATTTTTCTGTAACACCTGGTACATATACATTTGCGTGTACGTATGCACGTTAGATTTCGTAAAAAAGTGAACTGACTCACGTTCAGTATGCTATCGATGTGATTATCGTGGTATGTTTATTGTCACCGATATGGATGCATCAATAATCGCGATGACAAGTATCGATTGACGTGAATTATTTGATCCTATCGAATAATTACAAAATAACACTCTCCTCGCTCACTTTCTTTTTTTCTCATGATTGTGTTTCGCTTTCTATGGAATTTTTATGAACAATCAGGGCGGAGGGGGCCAGGGGACAGGGGGAAGAAGATTTTATAAGAAGAAACGCGGTTACGGTTTTGTTTTAAGTAACGTCATTTTGTTCGCGTATGTAGGTGTGCATTTGCGAGTAATGTTAATCAATGAAAAAAAAAAAAGAAAAGAAAAAATACGAAAAGGAAGGGGGAAAAAAAAATGGATAACGAGCACGGGACGTATGGTTGCACGCGTATGTGACATTAGGTTGTCAACGTTAATGGGCTCCTAATGTACGTAGAACCCTTTAATTTGAATCATTGTTTTCAATGCAGCTGCCCCTAATTCGCGTTCTCTCGACGACATTTCAATCCGTGAAAGAAAATAATTCTAATAGCAAAAACACAAAATTTCTCTTCTCATTTTATATTTTTGTTAATAGTATGGAAATGGGAAACGGAATGGAATACAAGGGTAATTTCGACGAATACAATTTGAACATTTGTTATTGTATTTTTTTTAAATATTATTTTTTATAACTTTCCTTTTTTTTCCTTTAGGTGGTAAAAGTTTAAAACGTGAAATTTCAAACGTACGAATAAAGTTTGGTATTAAAAGGAATAGGGGGGAAAAAAATGCGAAAATTAAAAGAAAAAAAAAAAAGAAAAGAAAAGAAAAAAAAAGAAATCATAGAATTTTGATTCTAATGGTGGTGGTGGTGGTGGTGATGGTCTCTCGCTTTAACTTGGTCTCACAGAAGCGTGCTTGTTGGTGCATTAAAAGCTAAAGGATGAAAATCGATAATTATCTTTGATCAAATATCAGAAAGTAACTTTGCAAATAGACAACGTAATGGATATGATAGTAACACGATAATAGAATCGAACGAACGAACGAACGAGTTTCTCATTTCTGTTATATCTTCCTTTCTCTCTCTCTCTCTCTCTCTCTCTCTTTCTCTCTCTCTCTCTCTCTTTGTCTCTCTCTGTCGTTGTAATCTTGGCTTTGAAACAAATGACATAGTTAATACGTACCAGTGCAAAGAAAATAAAAGGAAATAAAAGAAAAAATAATGTTGTCATCGTTGCATTTCACGACTGATTATTGCATGATTCAAATCAAACACAATTAAACGCGTAGGCATTTTGTTGTTAATCGTTTAAGAGTCGTTAGAAAGAAGAAAAGAAAAAAATTATTTATCGATAACGAGTCAACATTTCTAACTTTTGATTGGTGGTTTAACTAAATTGAACATTTATATGGTTTTTCTTTTTCTTTTTTATATTTAAACAATTAATAAGATTACGTTGAATCGATAAGAAAATATTTATCGATCGTCGATTATCACCTGTTTATCACAAGTTCTCTTTCCTGTATTTATTGTTTCTTTTTTTCTTTTCTCTGTTTTTTTTTTCCTTTCCATTTTTTTTCTCAACATTAATTTCTAAAACCGTGCGTGATCTCACGCAATACGAGAATCGAAAGATATATATATATATATATATATATATGTATATAATCGTAAAATAGAAATAAATTACGAGAGAGAACTAAAAATACCACGCGCAATGCACTTTTGCATCAAAATTTATTTTTGTATTATTTGTTTAATAAAAAAGAAAAGAAAAAAGAAAAAAAAAGAAAAAGGAAACCGCTTATACTTTTCGTTAAACATTTAATAAACATTTTATTGATTGGGATTTTTGGATTACTCTTTTTGGGGTTTCCTCTTATGTCGTTTTTATTTTCAAATAATTGAAGTATCGCGAATATTATCGTTAATAAATTAATCGAACTGTTTGTAAAGTCTCGGGTTTCGTTCTTTCGTGTCATCTGTCGGTCGTTCGCACACCCTCGACAGATTGAAAGATAAATTTGATATGCGCCAAACCGATAATATCATCGTTTTCCTAGTCGTTGCAATCAATTCGTACGAATTATAATATATCCTAATAATATAACAAATATTTTTCATTTTAAAATATAATTCTCCATGTTTCATTAAATATATATTAAATAAACAATAATGGACCGTTTATTTTGAAAGTGGTGTAAGTCGATTTAAAACAAAAAAAAGAAAATGAAATATCACGTAATTTATACTTAATTTAATGTAAACTTTCTATTTATAACTAGTTAGTATTTAATTTCTTAAAAAATGTCAATGCTCTTCCATTTTATGAACTTTTGTAGATTATTTTATACCGCGAAAAAGTACTCTACGTGTAGCTAAAAGTGTGCACTTTAATTTAAAATAAAAATCGTTAAGATCCGTATGCTCTAAGTATAAAAAATATTTGCCGAAACTTTTCAAAAAAATTGCAAAAATGCACTATTTACAGCATTGCATTCTCTGACATTTTATGAACCTTTGCTAATTAATTTATAACTCAATAAGGTATTCTACGCGTAGACAAAAGAGTGCACTTTAATTTAATATAAAAATCATTAAAATCCATTTGCTAAAAGTATAAAAAATATTTACCGAAACTTTTCAACAAAATTGCAAAGATGCACAATTTACAGCATTGCATTCTCTGACATTTTCTAAACTTTACATGCTTAATTTATAACTCGATATGGTATTCTACTTGTAGACAAAAGAGAGATTTAATTTAATATACGAATCATTAAGATCCCCTTTTGGTATAAGTATAAAAAATATTAAAAATATATTCACACGGGACCAAATTGCAGTTTAATGTTAACTTGTAGAAAATGTATTGTTAAGTTAAAAATATTAGGTGTTATTCAAAATAAACGGTCCAATTATTAATCAATGAATTATAATAATCTTATATACGTACATCTCAATCGTACATTTCATTTAAAAACCCTATTAATATAACAATCAATCAATGTTATTGACTATGCCATTATAAACATGATATAATATTTTGTTAAATATGTGAAATGGTGGGGGGGGGGGGGGGAGGGCTAATATAATTATTAGATAAGTTCGTTAAAGTATACATTTCCTGTTTATAACATTTAACGTTAGAAATAGTAATAAATAGTGTGTCGAACGATTTCCTGACTCGTATGAAACGACTAGAACAGGAAATGAGAGCTAATTAATGTCTAAAACCTAACACTGATAGCCTATAATATATGTGAGTAACTATGGTTTACTATAATTCCCACCAAAATAAAAGTATTTCTATGGGTAGTATATATATAACGGGGTGGTTTGATAATAATATTTTATTAAAGAATTCCTGGAATTTTTTTTTAACC